AATCATGCAATGTTGTCTTTTGCATATGTTTAACATTCTCGTGTGCTTAATATTTAGAGATGATCCATTTCTGTTCTTATATAGTGCTTTCCTTACAAGTGACTTGGTCTTCGTATTCGGCATTTTATTGCTGCTCTAACAGTTTGAATGCGGCTGTACGACAAGTAGATGATGTCAAGTTACTTTGCTTCAGGGCATAATGGTGTTTTATGAATATGTCTCGCTGTTTAGCATTTGAATGAGAATGTGTATAGGGTATACGACTATGCGTTTTTTCGTCCTCTCTAGCTGCTTCGCTATCTTTTTGTTCAATGGTAGAAACATTAGTCTTTTTTCATGCAGTATCGACATCGTCTCCTATTACCGTAGACGCAGCTTTGGAGTGTCTTATAGGTGATTTTAATCTTATTGGAAAGCTTTCTTCTTCTATACAATTTTTAGAGTCATCGAAATAGTCTAGTGCATTATTACATAAAGTTTTTAAATTCTGAATATTTGTTTCAGTTGACTCTGGTTCGTTAATTCCTGTTGTTCTTCTCGGTATGGAATAATCCCAATATATAGATGGGTCAGCAAAATTTGTATTTTGCAAACTATTAGTTTAAGGATATTGTTTATCATTATTTTCATCCAAACTGCTTTCCAAAGCATCTTCATGCGTTGATCTGCGAGCGTTAGATTGCAGCTTTGGATTTTTCTTTACTTGAGCAACAATTTTATCGTCTGATGTACTTGATGAGTCGGTGTCAAACTTAAATTCTACTGATTTTCAAGGTGCAGTTCCGATTTTTTTATTTGTAGAAGTCGTAGAAAATGACGGTTGTGCTGAAGGGTTGAATATTCCTTCCAAGTCACTGGCTCTAGTTATCAATTCTTCTTATGATTAATTATCTGTTGTGGTTAAAACGGACGATAAATCTGGTTCAGTATTCAAGAGGCTAGGTAGTAGAGATCCATCTCTTTGGGGTATCGGTGCTTGCTAGTTTCTATTGTTCTCCTATGTATCTAGAATTTTTGTGTTGTCAGAGTCTGAAATAGCCTTGGGTATATCAGGAGTAGGTGAAAGTTTTTCTTAAAGTCAGCGCTTAAGTAACCTTTGGGCCATTGACGTTTCAGTAAAATTTCTTTGCCCTCCTTTCATTCCTGGGGGTATAACGAGAGAAGAATTTTTAGAGCCCTTTTTTCTTTCTTTCGTTGCTTGCTTCGCTGTAGTAGTGGGTTCGAGAGTACTTGAGCTTTAATTGTGTATATCACTGGCTCTAGTAGCACGTGCAGTAGATGTTCTTGTTTGTCGAGGAATTTTTAAAATTGATTTTAACAGACAGGACTAGAATGTTTTATAATTACTAGACTTTCTGTCAGAGCTCAAACTGTTGTAGCGACTACTTCTGTTGCTGCTAGATGTTGAAATTTTTCTGACCCTCTAACACCTCCCCTTAAAATCTATATCATCTTTTACGGTATTTATTTCATTAGAATCTACAGGGTTACGCGATGAAGCGTCAGCATTTGAATTCAAACGTCTGGGTTTGTACTTGTAGATGTAGTTGTACCCACGGAGTTTTGCTGTCCATCGATTAAAATGACTTATGGGGTCTTTTATTGATTTGATCCATGTCAAAGGTTCGTGGTCTCTGTAAACTATAAATTTTCATCCGTATAAATAGTGCCAAAAATGTTGTACGGCGGCTATTACTGCTAAATACTCTTTTTCAGTAGTGGAGTAATTTCTTTCGCATTTATTGTAAGTGCGAGACATGTAGGCTACAGGATAGTTTTTTTCTGATTCTCTTTGAATTAAAACAGCACTTAGAGCTAAGTTGGATGTGTCGGTAGTTAGAATAAATGGTTTGTCGAGATCAACACATGCAAGTACGGGGGCCTCACACAGGGCTGTTTTAATCTTTTAAAGCTCTCTTCCTGAGTCTTATCGAATTTTCGACTATTCCGTAAAAATAGGGTTAAAGGCTCTGCAATTTCAGCATAATCTTTAATAAATCGTTTATAATATTCGGTAAGTCCTAAAAATTTTCGAATATTCGCACCATTTGTTGGTGTTGAGAAATTTTCAACTGTTTCAAGTTTCTCGGGATCGGTTTTTACTTCATAACCACCTATTTTGTATCCTAAATACGTTACTTCAGGAGTAAGCAATTCGCATTTATCTAGCTGTCATTTTTAACGAGCATCTGATAGTCTATTAAATAGTTTTCTTACTTTTATTTAAGGTTTTTTAAAGTTTTGGCACATATTATATCATCAAAAACATAAATAGTTCTGTGCCTTGCGATCCCAATAATACATAATCCATGAGTCTTCGGAATGTAGCTGGTACATTGCATAATCCAAATGGCAAACCTGCATACTCGTCATGTCCATACGGAGTACTAAAAGCTGTTTTATGGCAATCTTCTGGAGATACTTCAAATTGATGAAATCCATTAGCTAGGTCGAATACTGAAAAAAAATTTTGACATTTAATTTGCTCTAATATCTCCTAATATTAGAGAATGGGTGAGCATCAGGGATGGTTTAAGCGTTTAATTTTCTGTAATCTGTTACAAGATGATATCTATTTTCTTCGTTGGATCCTGGCTTTATCGAGACAATATACAGCGGACTACTATAAATGCTAGAAGAAAAGCCAATGGTTCCTCCTTATAATAATTTATCGATCTGATCTCTAACTTTCTTGTGTAGAGCAGGAGGATATCTGTATTGTTCAGTAAAAACAGGTTTATTGTCAGTTTTTAGTATATTATGTTGTACATACGATGTACGTGAAGCAGCATCACCTTTGATATAAAATAGATGTGAATACTCTTTTACTATTTGGCAAAGTTGTTTCTAACATGTCTTATCATGATGATGCCAAAACAAAGTTTTTCTGTAGTATATTTGATTTTTTCTTCTGTTGTTACTCAAGTGCTTACTTTAAAACAAACTACAAACATTTTCTGAAAAACAGGAAATAATAAAATACGCATTTGCATATCTATTTGTAAATGAATAATAAAATTACGGTTGTTTTTTTACAATGTTTGGATGCATTACATAACAAACTTTCTAAAATAAACTATAACATTGAAATAGCCCGTATACAAATTTTTTATACCTAGCTTTATATCCAAACACTAAAATTCTGTATCTTTTCTGCATTGGCGTTTAAAAAATAAAAATTTTAAAAGATTTACATAACATTTATATTATTTAAGGGGTATTGGGATGTAATATGGGCCACTGGAGGGAATAAGAAATTCAACATGGCACGGAAGGGTCAACACATGCACACGCGCAGCATAGGACTTGAAGGCTATTTTTCCTCCGTGTTTAAATTTTTGATGACAATAAGGCCCGTGCATTTTTCTAAACTATATTTACATCAGGAAGCAGCTCCCGGTGCCCTTTTTTTAAACTCTTGAGCTATGTAACTCACGAAAATCCGAATTAAAATACGCAGCTGCTGACAGAGTGCTGTACCTATATGTATACGAGCACTGCTGTAGATATATGTATACGCGGGAAAGCTATCAGCAGCTGCGTATTTTAATTCGGATTTTCATAAGTTACATAGCTCTAGAGTATAAAAAAAGTGCACCAGGAGCTGCTTCCTAATGTAAATATAATTTAGAAAAACGCATGGGCCTCATTGTCATCAAAAATTTAAACACGGAGAAAAAGTAGCCTTTAAGTCCTACGCTGCGCGTGTGTATACGTTGACTCTTCTGCGCCATGTTGAATTTCTTATCCCCTCCAGTGGCCCATATTACATCCCAATAGTCAAGGTCAAAACAAAGGTCATAGGTGAATGTTCCCTTTTTAACCTTACAACTTTGGTATGGATTATTTTTCGATCAAAGGCTCTCTAGATAAAACATCAGTTAAAAATTTAAATTGAGATTGTAATTCTAAAGATACAATGCGTTTAAAGTATGTAAAATAGATTATTCTACCCAGGCCTGAAAATTAAGAGTATTGGCTTATTATCAAGATAAAGAAAACCGTAAGAAATGAGTCTGTATCACAAGTTACCACAGCTGCACAACATAGAGCAGCGTGGATAGTAGGCAGGAGAGAGAGTAAAAAAATACTTGTTTGATATCAGATGCCAAAACAATTTACTAACTTTAATTTAAATTGAAAAATCTAAATTAAATTCATTCGTACGATACGTTACCTGAATTTTTCTTACGAACATGACGAATGCAACTGCAGTGCATACTTTTGGTAATTTATGGCGAAAAGCAAGGGGTGAGCCCAAGTACTGTGCCAAAACAAAGATGTGTATGTTGACTTCTCAATGTAAGTGGTTCTTATTTTATTACAGTTGCTATATTTTTTTACAGAGTTACGAAATGGAATTTAAAAAAATACAAGTGGACAGATAAATAGACCTGCGTTAAGTTATAGTCGTTGAAATAAAAAAAATTCTTGTTTAAAATAAAATCATATAAAAAAGCTTCGCTGGCTAAGTCGTCAGCAGGACAACCTCTTAGAGAAATTTAAGAGCTTGTGGGTTCAAGATTTTTTCTTCAGACTTTTTCAATAGGATGAGTACCCTAGATCCCCAAAAATCACTTTTTCCGATTTTTAAGATGATAAGTAAACTTTTCAGGGTAATACTTAGACCTCCTTTCTGGAGTAAATTAGGTGATTAATGGAAGAGATCTTTCCATTCAAACTAATAATACTCACATTGTGTTTGAGACAGTTGTTGCATGCTGTAAATAGTACACAGCAAAGTACATGAACAAGTCGTATGAAAGGGAACTTATAAGGGATTAGTAGGAGAATAGACTATGTGAATACCTTACTATAGGTTTACGTGGAATCTAAATGCTAAAAGTTATGGATAAAGTCGTACGCATATATATAAATAATAAACGATACTTGTGTTATAGACTCTAACTTGGTAATAGATAAGATTATAAAAACATGAGATTTAAGAACTATTACATACTTTACGTGTTCAAATATACGAAATGATTATTTCTACTTACGAGCAGTTTTCTTTGATTTCCTCTAAATATTTCTAGCGGATTTTCAAATTGACGATAGTAGCTAAGCACTTCTCTGACATCCTCCACATTTGTCGCGTATACAGCTGAAAAATAGTTACATCTTAATGCAACATTAGAATACTAATGTTTCAAAGCAGTAGGAAATGATTAAAATTTCGAGTAATAAAAAATGTAAGACCATATAATTATTTGAATTTTAAAGGAAAACATAATAATTTTAATTTTCAGATAAACTTTTTTAAGAAGAATTTTAAATGAAATAAAAAATCAGATTCAAACACAACATTTAGAATTAAAAGTACTCCTAACAAGTTAAAAAATAAGCAAAACTCTATTACAATCATTACTGTTAGTCTGAAAAAAATAGTGATTTGTTTTGTTGTGTCAGCTTAAGTAGAGCTCCTGCATTGAATATAACTAAACTTATCTAAGTAGAAATGAATTTTCATTAAACATAACAGAGTACTAACAAAACTAAGTGCTTTAATACAATTTCCCAGGAGATTTCATATTTTCAAATCTTATTGTAAGAAAATATCGATTTTTTATGTGTTTATTAGCACATACACGAGCACGCGCGCGCAAACTAACACGCGCAAGTACACACACACTAAGCAAAAAAAAGAGTGCTTGGCATCACAAGATATACTAAATATTACTGAGAAACACGAAGCCAACATACATAAATACATTTCAACTGTTTGAAATAATACGAATAATAATAGTGAGCCTTACGCAAACTTGTAAAGGCCCTAAGTAACATACCTATACTTATAACGCCAGACATAAATTAATCACTTAGAGTCATAAAAATGTTTATTCACAAACGGTGCCAATTTAAGTTATCTAAGGTGTACCAAGCAACTTATACCCATAGTGCTTGACAAAAAACAAGAAAGGCCGTTATCATATAGACATCTATTAACAATAAAATATGATGCCACCGAATAGCCAATTCTACATTCTCAGACACTAAGAGCTAAATTTTGCTGCAATAAAATCGATATTTCTTACAAACTCAGAAAAATGCATAAGTCACTTGATGTATTATTATAAAATGCGATTTCAAAAAAAGGGATGGAAAAAGTCTGAATCGCCACGTTGATAACTAAAAGAGCTAGTATAAAAAAATAGGAAGACAAAGAATTGAGAGCCGGCATGAATACATAGGATTCCCACAAGAGGATAAAGAAACTTTCTTAGAAAAGTGTTGAAAATAATAAACATATGTATTAGTAGTGACTTATGCAAATTCTACGTGTTTTTTAGACATGCATCAATAACATTCTCAAATTTTGCAGATAGTCCACATACATCTAGCATTTGTCTTCAAGGACGCACGTGCATGTTCGTATCTTGGGTAAACGTTACTCATGCAGACATTACGAGCTGTTGCCATGTATATAAAAATATGGTGGAATTACAGAATAGCAGGTGTCCACATACTTCCGTTTTATTATCATGATTTTCATTCACTAATATTGGTGTTACCATAAGTCACCTTTAGTCTATGAGTAAATATATTAGTGGGACTCGTCTTCTAGCACGATTCACACACAAACCTCCAGGAATAACTAATAAATCATAGTATCAACTTTCATGAAAATGAAAGCAATTAAAATAAAAAATGTATTTGTTTTTGCTTTATTACTATTAGTTGCCTTATAATGTTCTTTTCTATTGCTCTTTTTAAGAACGTTAACAAAAAAAAAAAAAATTACTGAAATGTCCTTAAGAAAAACTGCGTAAGATTGATTAAAATGAATTATTATCAATAGTTTTTTAAATAATTACTTTGTGTATATAAATAATTAGATACGACTTCTAATGATGCCGCTCATAATCCCACAAATAACATCCAAGATTGTAGAAAAAAATTTGTTTGTCTAAACAGACGAATAAAAAAAGAAAATATTCTGCATACACAGTTAAAAGAAAAGATAGTATGAGTAAAGATTTTTAAGCAATATTTTGTCTTTGTCTCTTTCTTTGATAACCAAACAGAATACTAATTTATTTGTATAGGTTTCACTAGTATATATATATGTATATATGTATTTTACAAGGTGAGAAGGTTTGAAGGAAAAAAATTATAGAAGGTGGAGAGATACGGAAACGAAAATAATATTATAGGTGTATGATAATACTAATGTACGCATTGTGTGGGTAATTTGATATTTTTTTTAGAGGGTAATGTTCTGGTCCCCACAATATGAGTGTAAATAGTATCTTTGTCCGTAGGGAAGCACGTTCTTTAAGGAGGTATATGTTGCATGGATGGTCTTGCTAAAGTTGCAAAAAATTCGGGCTCTTCGACTGGTTGTCTTGTTTAGGGATATCAAACGGTCTGTAGCAAGGTTCCTTTGGCTTCTGATTTTAGGTGACCAGCTTGAACTCATTTGGTAAATTACAAGTATGATGATTACTATGATTAAGTTTTCTTAAAATGTTGTAGCAAGACTTTTTCTAGGTATTTTTTCTCTTTACGGGCTGCGATTTTTTTCAGTTTTTCTTCGATATCTTGTAATGATAGGGCGTCATTTGATTGAGCTCATTTCGTATTTCGTATTTCGTATTAGTTGCTCTTCTTCTTCTTAATCAATCGTGTTTTTTGTAATGCGAGAAAATACATCTTGAGATAACATTATGGATAAATTTAGGGTCAACTAAGGTTTGTAGATATAGGTGTAATTCAATTTTATTAAGTTTATGTCATATAGGGCGACATCACGAGAATGTGCTAAGCACTGACCGCTTTATGTTAGAAGTCCGGTGTCCTTGAGTGTTAATTCTTGGCGATGATCATAATCACAGATTAGACGAAGTGTAAAAGGATATCTAGTAGAATATAGCCATTCCTGAGTGTATTTTAACTTAATCCAATATGACTTTTCTAAATTGTATAACATAATTTCACATTTTCTTAGGGCTTCTTCTGTGGGTTTTGTAAAAAGAAGAAATTCACAAGTAGCATCGTCGATTTCTTTCATTATTGCATAGGTAGGTTCAAATAGTAGTCAACGACTATAGTGTATACATTTATTTATGTAGTCTTTATCAGCTAGAAAATCATTTTCTTGATGGTGGTTTATAATTGAATAGTCTGTTTTGGGTTTGCTACTGACGTAACCTTGTAAGTTTTGGTGTATATTTTGTGGCACAGGTAGTGGATGCATGCAGTAAGTACTATATTTGTCGTTTCCAAATAAAGGAAATAGAATTTTAACTGCTAATCGTCCGTCATTCATTATAACTGTTGTCCAGGGAAAGCTATGTAATTGAGTAAAGGTAATTTGTGCTTCATTTATAGGTAGAGCATGTTTGTTACTAAATAAGTAAGTTTCTTTTACTCTTTGAGTCAATTGTTCTGATAAAAGTAGAAGGGGATGGGGATGACCTTCGGCAGTAGTCTCGATTGCGTTGATTAATATTTTATAGGATTGCAGTATGTAATACAAGAATTCTGGAAATGTATTACCCATATGCTAATGGATCGTAAAATTGTATTAATTTTTTCCTATTTTGATAAATACGTGGAATTTATGGCTAGCTCCCGTATTCGTTGTGTAAGTTTTCAACTATCTATTTTTGTTTGTTCCATTTCTTTGTGAAGCTTTTCTGAATTTGATTGTACGATATGCATTTGGTTTGCCACTAGAACGAAAATATTTTTCCGTTTTTAAACAGATGTTGATTGAGAACTCAGAAGCGATTTCTTCTCTGTCGTTTGCGTCCATTGTCCAAAAAATTTTCTTGGATATTTATCCCACGAGTTTAAAAGGGGCTTCCCTTTTCTTTATACTGTGGGATTCGGTTATTGACGAGTTAAAGACCTTAATAGTTAATGAGAAAAATTGCTGTATCGGAAATGGTATTGAGTTGATGTTTTTAAGTAGTGGTCTCAAGTGTGATATAGGTAACTTTCCACACTGGTTCGTATTTAGGTGTTCATGGCAGTCATTGGACAAATCATGTATTTAAAAACCTAGTTCTTCGTTATAGCTTGTGAGATTTTTACAGTTCAAAAGTGCGGTTATTGGCCATTGTGAGCGGATAAGACAAACTTCATTCTAGTACTCATAATAAATTCCTGGTTTATTGGATATTTCTTAATTTTCATAAAAGCTTTTCCAAAAAGGGTGGTCCATTAAATATGCTAAGAGATCCTTTGTTATATTAAGTCCCATTATAAGAAGTTGAAGGATCACCTTGTTACGTTGTTGAGATTCCTAAAACATAAGGGAGATCTCATTCGTAACAGCATTTTACTTTATCTAAATATTTGAAAATTATTTTTCCATTTTCGGATCTTAGTCTTATGTTGTTATTATTTCTATTAATGTTAGTGGTTTCGAAAATTCTGTTGTAACATTTATCCAATTTTTCTCTCCGAGTTTCTTTTATTGCGTAAACTTGTATACTAACTTCTAAATTCTGAGGTCTAGCATGCTTATCATAAATTTGTTTACTTTTATGTTTATATTTGATAAGCTCATCAATAGCTTTTTTATATCTGTCTCTTAAACAACGAATCAAATAACAAGATAATTATTATAAGACTCTATTTGATTTTCGGTTGGATGTGGATTTGGTGGACATGCTTTTCTGCCGTATACAAATTCATACGGTGTAATTCCCGTAGCTGTATGCAGTGATGTAGTGTACTAGTGTATAGCAAAAGGTAAAATTTTGTCCCAGTCCTGTTTAGTTGTAGCTTTTGTTCTTAAAAAGCTTGCAAGCGTGGCATGACTACGTTCTAGTGAACCGTTAAATTGGAAATAGTAAGGTGTAGTGGTCTTGAGGTTAAAACCTAAAATTTGGGCTAAATTTGTTAATATATTACTCCGAAAACTCTTACCATCATCGCTAAGTACTATTTCAAGCACTTCATACAACGCTATGAAGTGTCTTGCCAGAGCGTATGTGACTGTGATAGCTCTGATGTCGGGTATAGCTACTGCTACACAGTATTTTGAAAATAAAAATTATATAGNGACGCAAATAGTTTTTCTTGTCTAATATTGTAATGCTACACGGATCACATACAAACAATTTTTTTTTGTGAATTTTTTCGTGCGATGAT